GGCCGCCCCACGCCACACCCCCCGCAGTGGCAGTGGCCAGCACGGCATACCCACTCACAGTCGCGTTCACCCCGCCACCCCCCATCATCCCCCCCGCGCCCCCAGCGCCTGGGTATCCACCTGAGGAACCACCTGCAGGCGGCTGCTGTGGCGCCCCCTGCTGCTGCCCCCCCTGCCTGGCGCCGGTGACGCGCCCCGCTGCGCGCATCAGCAGCTCCCTCCCCATGCGCCTGCTGCCCTGCCCGCTCCGCGTGCCGCCCGAGCTCCCTCCACGTCCGCCGCCGCCGCGCGCCGCCGGGAGCGTCGCGTTAGGGAGGAGCGCGAGGAGCGCTTCGACGGTGGTGGCGTCCGCGTTCTCGAGGAACGCGTCGAGCCGCGCCTCCGCGTGCAGCAGCCACCAGCCCTCGCGCTGCTGCCAGTCGGACGCCGCCAGCGGAATCGCGAGGATCGCAGCGGCGGAGGCGGAAGATTCGCAGACGGCGCCCTTCACGATCGCGAGGGAGTCGGGCGGCCCGCCCGTGGCGCCCACGAGCAGCGCGTCGACCGCCAGGTTGTAGTTGCCGCTCGCGTTCCTGGGGGAGGGGGAAGGGAACAGAAGAACGAATCAGTTTCACGAAGCGCATCGAAATTGTAATATCTGCAACCAAGAGGAGAAGAATTTGCGACGCTGAAGCTAAATGAACGAGAAAATCCGACGAAAGGAGGCCCGCGAAAGTTAGGGTTACGGTAACATCGAAGCTCACTTGAAGATGGCGAGGTGAAAGCGGCCGTCGAGAAAGGTTTCGTCTGCGGAGCAATTGGCCAATCGCGCGCCGACGTCCGCCGTCAGATTTCCGACGACCGTCAAGTTGAACGGAGGACCGCGCGGACCAGCAGGCCCACCAGGCCCGCCAGGCCCGCCAGGCCCGCCAGACCCGGGTCCGCCAGGTCCGTCTCAAAAATTGCGATGGGCTCAACTCACCCCCAAGGCAGGTCACCTCGGGGCTACCTACACCAACTTCATGCAAACTCATCCCAAAGAAAACCCGGAGTCACAACCAGGTAACGAATTTCACCACAGACTAGGCAAAGGGCCCAAATGATCCAACCGACTACTGGCGAAGCAATTTCGCGTAGTGGCGACAATTCGCCAACAGTAACTGGCATTGGATTGGAGACATGTTACGATATCTGAAGTCAAACAACACCACCAATGCAGCTTGTCCAGCACAGCACAGTCGTGACTGATATTTTTTTGCATCCTCGCTGTACTGCTTGGTCATCAAAATGAAACCAACGTCGCTTCCCGTCCATATACCGTACCCACACAGGCAGGTTCGGGCAGATTGCATGCGTGGTTCGGCTGCCAGCTGACACAGGATAGCGAATGAACTTGTGAGTGTGCAATTTTTTGAGACCACGTCGCTGACCGTAACTTGTGGTCGAATCTGTTCAAGACACGTCGCATCCTTGACCAACCCTGCCTCTAGCTACCCCCACCCCATCCTTGACCTGCTCCAACCATGTGTTCGTCCCCAGCTGCTCCTTCAAGAGTCTCGCTGTTCATTTCTTGATTCATTCGTAGTCCTCTGTCATACTTTTCTCCTCACTCTCTTAGCTCGAATGCCCGCGTCGCGCGACTGCCTCTTCCTGTTTTATTTTTCCCTGCTGCCTCTATGGTCGCAGTCTTATCATCTTTCCCGTCGTCAGATTTTTACAATATATCTTTCCGTGTTTTTTTACGTATTTCTCCTTGTGCCTTTCAGTAAATATGTTGACAACTCGAACATGGCGCGTCAGGCAGCACTTCGACCCGCAGGCGCTGCCATGGAAGAGTATGTCGGTTATTCCTATCGTCATGATGTCGTACACTTTCTCCTGGGTTTCTTGTTTTGTGCTTGTTCCCACTGTGTCACTTTTCATGATTATCTTCAACCCTCAATAAGGCGCGTGAGGAAGCTCTTCAACGCGCGATTCTCGACATTGTGAATCGGTAAGTCGGTTTAGATATCGCCTTCCCGCCAGTTTCATTTGTTTGTGCTAGCAGTGTTCGGGTTATAATGTTAACAAGTCTGTCAGTGATCCTATAAAAGCCATGGCTGGTGTTATGGGATGTTGTTGAATTTGTTTGCAGATCGGTACCTTTTAAGAGACTTTTACTTCATCTTGACTCATGCTGCCGTCATAACAGTTGTGCCTTTTGCAGAGTTGCAGCTTGTAACATGGTTTTTAACGTCTATGAAGAACGTTTCCACCAGTAAGGGTGATTTGTTTGCTTGCGTAGAGAGGAGTGCATGTCACATATACTGGATCAAAATTAGCTATGAGAATGCTGGAATGTTTGTGAAAATGTTTCTGTTTTGTAAAAAAATCATCAGACGTTATAAATAAATTATGAAACATTATACTTGTCCTCGCTTCTAGCTACCGTAGTACGAATAATATTGTGACAATATGTGATTATAGTATGAGTATTTCCTACTTGTGATTATAAACGAGTGGGCATTCATATTGGTTTAACAAGTCGAGTGTTCTTTGGTTACTTTCTCGGTTACATTCATTTTCTGGACCAATCAAAACGACCCTCGCCAGTCGGGTTTGCGCGAACTGTGTTCAGTTCGTGCTCACCTCTGGTGGCGATCTGTAGGTGACTCGTAGGTCACATCGGGTGCAAGTGTTCACTTTGTACCATAGCCCGAGTAGCACCTCGGGCTAACCTACAGGTGGGTTACTTCGGGACGACTTTAGGGTTAGCTCAAACTAACATCCGAGGCCCAATTTTTTTGAGACGTCCTCCGCGCGCCCCTCCGGACTGCTGGCCTCCGGGAGGGCCTCCGCCAGGCGGTCCACGCTGCGCGGCCGCGGAAGTCGCAAGGAGGAGCGCAATGCAAACGAAAATATATCCCCTGGCTGCCATGGCTTTCGGAATCGTGAAGTGAATTGGCTTCAAGTATTGAGGCGAGATCGATAGACGTTGGATGGATGGGAGAAAGCAGAGCAGAAAGTTTGAGATGGCAAGAGGTTGAACTGAGGGAGCAATTTATAGGCAACAGCTTTCTCACAATCCATCCTCGAGTCGAGTCGGGCGTTGACTGACGAAATATAGTTCCCGAGACGCGAGGAGACTCGTCAACAAGTTGGTGGAGCCAGTCGCGAATCGTGAGATACATGAGGTCTGGTACACCTGATGCCTATTTCAGTCCCCTTCCCCATCTTTCCCTGTGCTCCTCTCTCGAGCACGCGCTCCCCATGGGGAGAATGGGACTGTATTTGGGTAGCCTGGCGTGTCTTGTCTGGGAAACTCGAATAACTTATTCGAGGTCAAGAATATCTTAGTTTTGTCGTGGGCTAGTAACGCGCGGGCCGTTGGCTGTGAATGTCGACCACTGGGCGTATGGTGGCAGGGGGCGTGTTCAGAGTGGGCGGTTGAGTGAGCATTAGGGTGTATGGTATGGTTGCGTTCCCTTTGTCTGGTTTGGCTCGTATTGTCTGGTTGGGGCTTGGCGGTGAGAGCTTAGCGGCTCGGTACTGTGACTGGTCTGGTGAGGAAGGGCCTGGTGTTGAAATTCTTCGACTGGTTTGGAGCTGTGTCTGGCTGGGTCAGCGCACAGCAGAAAACACATGAGGATTGCAGTTGAAACTGCAGTCAGCGGGTGCGAGTCCGCAAAGTCGAGGTTGAAACCATGTCTAAGCTAGTGTATACCTATTCGCGTATGTCTATAATATACATAATATACTGAGTGAATGATGTTAAGAGGATATGTCGTAAAGTTGAGACATCCAAGGATTTGTTATTGACTAAACATACGAGGCGTTGCTGAATGGCTGCTATTGAGTGTCCTTCAGAATTTCAGGTTCTGCTTCCGCTTCCAGTTCTGCTCCGGTCGCTGCTGCTGCAGTGAGCAACATGGTATTGTGGTCTGGTCTGGTAGTGTGTTCTCTGCTAAGGTTGTGCGACTAGAGGAGCTATGGAAGTGTAATGAGATTTCCTGCTTATTTTTACACTCTGAACAGCTAACTCTCTTATTTGAAGCTACACGTAACCAGTATGCTTCGAACAACGAAGCTGAGGCATGGAAAGCGCATCATGTACGCGTGTATGCTGTTGTGTCACTCTCACATAAAGAACGCTCCTCCGTCAAGTGTTGACGTGCCGCGTCTCCAGATGGCCATGTTGAAGCGTGAGCGGAGGCGGCTTTTGATTTTGAAGCTCTCGAAGAAAGCTCGAGCTCTCTTGTCCCCAGTTGGGTATGCTGACTCCTTCGTTTGGTCATGTCGAGGCAACAGAGAAAGAAAGAACCTTCTTGTGCTACCCAGATGGCTTGAGAGTCACCCCGTCTACCTTGAGACGTCTCAAGGTGGTACTGATGTTCAGGTGTGAGAGGAAGACACGTCAGAGGCACCTGAGAACTGCTTGTGACTTCGGAGTCGACTCAATAGTGACCTTGAGACGTCTCAAAGTAGTGATGTTCAGGTGTGAGAGGAAGAGACGTGTGGAGGCAGACACCTGAGAAGTGCTCGTGCCTGCCCTCGTGCCTTGAGGCTGTTATGCTGCCGCTTTCATATGGTCATGTTGAGGCGTGAGAGGAAGACTGTGATCCACACTGTGATTGGGAGCATGGATATGGCGTACTGCAGGGGGATGAATGGCAGGGGAAGGGAGAGATGCAAGAGAGGGGGAGGGTTGAAAGTGAGGGAGAGGGGTGTATGCTAATAAAGCCTGTGGGTTGCAGTAGGGAGACTGTGATCCAGACCGTGATGGGGAGCATGGATATGGCGTACTGCAGGGGGAAGAATGGCAGGGGAGGGCAGCAGGGGATGGGGTGGGGAGGGACGGAGGTTTGGAAGGGATACGGGCTGCTGTTCAAAGAGGGTGATCCAGACCGTGCTGGGGAGCATGGATATGGCGTACTGCAGGGGGCGGAGGGGAGGGGAGGGATGCAAGAGAGGGAGAGGGTTGAAAGCGAGGGAGAGGGGTGTATGTTAATAAGGCTTGTGGGTTGCTGTAGGGAGACTGTGATTCACACTGTGATGGGGAGCATGGATATGGCGTACTGCAGGGGAAGGAGGGAAATATGCAAGAGAGGGGGAGGCTTGGGTATTGCTATTGGGTTGAGCTGTGGCATGTCCACAGAGACATCGTTTTCCAAAGAAATGTCCACAGAGACATCTTTTGCCAAAGAAATGTCCACAGAGACATCTTTTGCCAAAGAAATGTCCACACAAAACACACACACCCCACACACCCACCTGTCGCAGCATGAGCGAGGCCAGCATTCCCGCCAGAGGCTTGGTGGCGGGGCTTAGTTGCGACATGAGCACGAGATTCTGTGCCGATGGCATGGCGGTTTGGATCTGAGGGCAGAGGAGAAAGGAGGAGAGACAAGGAGAGAGGAGGAGAGGAGAGACACGTAAATGAGATTCGATGCTGGTCTCATTCGCATAAATGACAGCGCGAATTCGGTGCTGTTTGGATCCCCGTGACTCACACATGGGAGGAGAATACAGAGACAGAAATGATATATCGCCACGATAGGAGATGACAAGGAGATGAGAGCAGTACTAGGCGAGAAGGCGAAAGGGCGGGGAAGGAAGCGCTAAACTGACCATGAGGGTGATAGCAAAAGCCACGTGTAGATAGGAAAAGCCACGTTTCAAAAGGAAGGAAGCGCTACACTGACCATGAGGGTGATAGCAAAAACAGGGCTTTGTGGTGGTCGAGGGAAGGGAAAGAGGGGGGGGAAGCACTGACCATGAGGGTGAGAGCACAGATGGGGTCTTGGGGAATCAGCCTGGCTTTGTACAGCGCCTGAGAAGCAAAGGGGAGGGGGGAAAGGGGAGGGCGAGTAGGGGGTGACGACGTTTGAATCGACTCAAAAGGCACAGATGGGGTCTTGTGGAATCAGCCTGGCTTTGTACAGTGCCTGAGAAGCAAGGAGAGGGCGAAACGGGAGGGCGGAAAGGGGAGGTCGGAAAGGGTAGGGCGGAAAGGGGAGGGCGGACGAGGGAAGGCGAAAGGGGAGGGCGGAAGAGAGAGGGAGGAAGACGAGAGGACGGAAAGAGGGGAGGTGGAAGAGAGCGAGAGAGAGGAAGAGGCCAACGCCTCACCATGATTGTCACGGTGCCATGCCAAGCATGGGAACTATGGTGAGGCGTTGGCCTCTTCCTCTCCGTCTCTTTCCTTTGCCTGGGCATGAGAGAAATAAGGGTGGAGCCTCGCGCCAACGCCTCACCATGATTGCCACGGTGCCAAGCATGGGAAGCGAAGAAAAGAGATGGAGACGAGGAATGGGAGGGGAGACGAGGAATGGGAGGGGAGACGAGGAATGGGAGGGGAGACGAGGAATGGGAGGGGAGACGAGGAATGGGAGGGGAGACGAGGAATGGGAGGGGAGACGAGGAATGGGAGGGGAGACGAGGAATGGGAGGGGAGACGAGGAATGGGAGGGGAGACGAGGAATGGGAGGGGAGACGAGGAATGGGAGGGGAGACGAGGAATGGGAGGGGAGACGAGGAATGGGAGGGGAGACGAGGAATGGGAGGGGAGACGAGGAATGGGAGGGGAGACGAGGAATGGGAGGGGAGACGAGGAATGGGAGGGGAGACGAGGAATGGGAGGGGAGACGAGGAATGGGAGGGGAGACGAGGAATGGGAGGGGAGACGAGGAATGGGAGGGGAGACGAGGAATGGGAGGGGAGACGGTGTAAGTGAGAGGGTCCCGAGCATGGGTATGGAAGAGACCTCCCCTCTCCTCTATTTTAAGGGCTATGGGCTTCATGCCTCTGTATGGCATGGGTGCATGCCTCTGTATGGCATGGGTGCATGCCTCTGTATGGCATGGGTGCATGCCTCAGCATGGCATGGCGGCATGCCTCAGCATGGCATGGGCGGCATGCCTCTCTCACCATGATTCCAATGGTCCCAAGCATGGGCAGCAGCAGCAGGCGCACAGCACACACCACCCAGAGCGCCCTATCATCCAGCAAGGAGGGCAGCGCAGCAGAGGAGGAGGGAGAAGCAGACGAAGCGCTCCTGCCTGTTGCTTGCAATTCCATGCTACCGTTTCCACCGCCCCCACCCCCACCTCCTCCAATTCCACCCGCAGCAGCAGCACCAACACCAGGTAAAGTGACGGAGGCCCGAGGCTCCACCCTTATTTCTCTCATGCCCAGGCCAGACAGTGCTGGTAGCTGGTTGGGATTGAAGAGCACGAGAGCGGAGGGGGCGCTGCCTGGGAGGAAGGGTGGGACGAGGGAGGGCAGGTGGCGTTGTGACAGAAAGCAGCAGAGGGGCGAGGCTCCACCCTTATTTCTCTCATGCCCAGGCCAGACAGTGCTGGTAGCTGGTTGGGATTGAAGAGCACGAGAGCGGAGGGGACGCTGCCTGGGAGGAAGGGTGGGACGAGGGAGGGCAGGTGGCGTTGTGACAGAAAGCAGCAGAGGGGCGAGGCTCCACCCTTATTTCTCTCATGCCCAGGCCTGAAAGGGCCGGGAGTTTGAGAATTCTCAAAAACCAGACGGAGGAGCGAGATTCCACCCTTATTTCTCTCATGCCCAGGCCTGAGAGGGCCGGGAGTTGGTTCGGATTGAACAGCACGAGAGATGAGGGGGTGCTGCCTGGGGGAAAACGGTGGGGCGGAGGGGCGGGAGTGTATAGATTGCATACATACAGAGATAATCATAGAATGTAATGTATATACATATGTTTGCTGCTGGTGCAGTAGACGCTACAGCAGGCACGCACACCTTAACACACCTTGCACAGGCATGGGCATAAGAGTGGTGACTTGGGCGATGGCTGCTGGTGGTAGCATCTGTTCAATTGTTGCTGAGACGGCCGCTGCTGTAGCAGAGGTGGGGTGAGGAAGAGGAAGGAGAGGAGGAAGGGGAAGCACATAGCACACCTGGTGTTGGGATTCTCGCTAGCGCCGTGACTTGGGTGTTGGCTGCTGGTGGTAGCAGCTGTTCGATTGCTGCTGACACAGATGCTGCTGCAGCAGCCGCAGAGGTGGGAGATGGTGAGGAGGGAGGAGACGAGGAAGGGAAGGAGGAGGGAGAGGAGGAAGGGGAGGAGGAGGGTTTGGGCCAGGAGAGGGAGATGCGGGAGGGGATGGAGGAGGCGAGAGAGGAGGCCAGCACCACTGCTTGCACTGCCACACAGGCTGACCCGAGAATGGCTGCTGCCTGGGTGGTGGTGAGGGGGAGGAAGAGATAGACAAAAAAGGGTGGAGGGATGGTGAACGAGTAGGTGAGGGTGAGGGAGGAGGCAAGAGAGGAGGAAAGCACTCTTGTCTGCTCAGCCACACAGGCTGACCCGAGAATGGCTGCTGCCTGGGTGGTGGTGGAAGGGAGGGAGGAGGGAAAGGCAACAAACGGGTGGAATGATGTTGAGAGATGAGGTGGGAGAGGAGGCGAGCTCCAGTGCTTGCACTGCACCAGTGCTTGCACTGCTACACAGGCTGACTTGAGAATGGCTACTCATCTCCACTTGCCGTGCCTTGCTTGCACGATGATATGCGCTCACCTAAATGAAGCCTTTTTAGACGTTTCCCAGCTCACCTCCATGACGCCGTGCAGATTGCCAGCAGTGGCAGGGCTAAAGAGCCACAGGGCCTGCCTGCCACTGCGGGCACCGCAGCTCACTGGTACTATGCCCTAGAGTTTTTTAGGCGCCTCAAGAGCCACAGGGCATGCCACTGTGTGCACCGGACCTCAGTGCTCGCTGCAGCTCTGTGCCTACTGCTCACTGCGTGCCCTAGAATCTGCTCACCTCCATGAAGCCGTGCAGAAAGCCAGCAGTAGGCTTTTGTGACATGCCATACCATGCACGCACCAGCCTCTTTCTTGCGTACGTACACGAGGCATGGCTTGCCCACCCCATAATGAGCAAGGGCGTACCCTCACCTTCATGCTGCATGATTTGCCGTGCCCAGTCCATCACCCTCGACTCCATGACACCATGCAGAATGCCAGCAGTGGCAGGGCTGAAGAGCCACGCTGAGGCGGAGCCTGGGGGAGGGAGCCTTGTAAAGGCGTTTGTTCACCTCCATGACTCATGCCTCGCCTACCCCACTCACCTCACCCCTCACCCCTCACCTTGTAAAGGCGTCCGTTCACCTCCATGACTCATGCCTCGCCTACCCCACTCACCTCACCCCTCACCCCTCACCTTGTAAAGGCGTCCGTTCACCTCCATGACTCATGCCTCGCCTACCCCACTCACCTCACCCCTCACCCCTCACCTTGTAAAGGCGTCCGTTCACCTCCATGACTCATGCCTCGCCTACCCCACTCACCTCACCCCTCACCCCTCACCATGTAAAGGCGTCCGTTCACCTCCATGACTCATGCCTCGCCTACCCCACTCACCTCACCCCTCACCCCTCACCTTGTAAAGGCGTCCGTTCACCTCCATGACTCATGCCTCGCCTACCCCACTCACCTCACCCCTCACCCCTCACCTTGTAATGGCGTCCGTTCACCTGCATGACTCATGCCTCGCCCTTACATGCCTTAGTGGGGGAGGACGCATTCCTCGCCGCCTACCCCACCCACCTCAACGCTCACCTCCATGACGCCGTGCAGGATGCCGGCAGTGGCAGGGCTGAAGAGCCATGCTGAGGCGGAGGCTGGGAGGGAGGAGGCAGCAGCGGCAGCAGCAGCAGAGGAGGAGGAGGCAGGGAGGAAGAAGTGGGCGAGTGGGGTGGCTCCTATTAGCAGACCTGCTAGCACCTGATGGGGGGATGGGAGGAGAGGGGGGAGTGGGAGGAGAGAGCCTAATTGGTTTCACTAGCTCCTATTGAAGCAGATATGTGTGCCCTGGGAACTTTTGAGTCGACTCAAAAGACAGCCCACTTTTGAGTCGACTCGAAAGTCAGCTCCTATTGAAGCAGATATGTGTGCCGTGCCCTGGGAACGAGGGCAGATACACATAAGGGAATGAGGGATGATTGGTCCGATTAGACAGACACGTGGGCACTTGGTCCGAAAGACCCTTGGGAGGATCAACACAGAGTCCACTCCATAACTAAGAACCCACATCACGAATAGGAACTCATCCCATAAATAGGAAGCCACCCCATAAATAGAAACGCACCCCATAAATAGGCGGGTTGAGCACTTTCTGAACCACCGCCATCACACGGCTGACAGCACGCTCAAACCTTGTCACTCCCATCGCTTCCATTTTTAGAAACTCACCCCATAAATAGGTGGATTGAGCACTTTCTGAACCACCGCCATCACACGGCTGACAGCACGCTCAAACCCTGTCACTCCCATCACTGCTGCTTCTGCTGCTGCTGCTGCTGCACTCGCCTCTTCACCCGCCCGCTCACCCTCTTCCTGCTTGTTATCCCCCCCTGTGAACATGCCGTAGCCCAGGGTCCAGAAGGTGGGTGACCAGCTGGAAGAGGGAGGAGGGGAGAAAGAGGGGAAGGAGGGGGAGAAAGAGGGGAAGGAGGGGGAGAAAGAGGGGAAGGAGGGGGAGAAACAGCGGTGGTGTGTGAACATGCTGTAACCCAGAGTCCAGAAGGTGGGGGACCAGCTGGAAAGGGAGGGAGGGAAGCGAGTGGGAAGAGGGGAATATATGGTGTGCCATCACTCTCCCCCCGCCCGCTCACCCTCCTCCTGCTTGTTATCCCCCCCTGTGAACATGCTGTAGCCCAGAGTCCAGAAGGTGGGGGACCAGCTGTGGAAAGATGCAAGCAATGGGAAAATGGAGGGGAGACGGAGAGGGGGGAAGACGGAGAGGGGGGAAGACGGAGATGGGGGAAGACGGAGAGGGGGGAAGACGGAGAGGGGGGAAGACGGAGAGGGGGTAAGACGGAGAGGGAGTAAGTCGGAGAGGGGGGAAGACGGAGAGGGGGGAAGACGGAGAGGGGGTAAGACGGAGAGGGGGGAAGACGGAGAGGGGGGAAGACGGAGAGGGGGTAAGACCGAAAAGGGGGAAGACAGAGAGGGGGCAAAGGCATGTTAACATGTTGTAGCCCAGAGTCCAGAACGTGGGGGACCAGCTGGAAGGGTGGGGGAGGGGAGTGGGAAGAGGAGAATAGATGGTGTGCCATCATTTCCCCCCCATCCTCTCGCCCTCTACCTGCTTGTTATCCCCCCCATCCTCTCGCCCTCTACCTGCTTGCTATCCCCCCCATCCTCTCGCCCTCTACCTGCTTGTTATCCCCCCCTGTGAACATGTTGTAGCCCAGGGTCCAGACCAGAATGGCAATGGCAACGGCAACGGCAACGGCAAGCTGGTTTCTGAGAATTCTCAAAACCCAGAAGGTGGGTGACCAGCTAGAATGGGGAGGGAGGGGGGTGGGACAAGGAGTGGCAGCAGCACCGCCCCCTGTGAGTGGGTCGGTGGGAAGCAAAGGCGATGTCGTGTGAGCATGCTGTAGCCCGGATTCCAGAAGGTGGGGGACCAGCTGGAAGAGGGAGGGAAGAGTGAGGGGTATACGGTGAACACAGGGGTTCGGAGCGGTTAACTGTGGTGAACATGCTGTAACCCAGGGTCCAGAAGGTGGGTGACCAACTGGAAGGGTTCTAACATGCCCAGCACAGATACTCACCCCAGCATGAACAGCATCAAGCACCCAACAGCCCTGTCAGCATGTGTGGGTACAACGTAGTGATGCACAGCTTTATAGAGTGTACTCGCCCGACCATGAAGAGTGCGACGTACCCAGCAGCCCTGTCAGCATCAGCGCGAGTCGGCAGCATCGCCAGAAACACGAGAGGCAGAGTGAGCGAGCACATGCTGACTTCAAACACCCTCCTTCCTCCTCTCAGGCATGTGAATTTTACTTTTGAGAATTCTCAAAAGTAAAATCCTTCCTTCCTCCCCTAAGGCCCAACCAAAAACAGTGTGCTCACCCAACCATGAAGAGCACAAGGTACCCAGGCGCTCTGTCAGCATGGGTAGACTGCTAAGGTACCCAACACAGCAAGGTGTAAAGGTGTACTCACCCAACCATGAAGAGTGCGAGGTACCCAGCAGCCCTGTCAGCATCAGCGCGAGTCAGCAGCGTTGCCAGAAACACCAGAGGCAGGGTGAGCGAGTTTCCAAACGCACATGCTGACATCACCACTGCCTCCTTCCTCCCCGCCGCCCGCTCCGCCGCCCCAACCATCCCAGGTGCAGACAAAACTCCCCGCCCAGGCGCCGCCTTCCCACCGCCCACCTTCCCCTCCACCGCCCCCTCCCGCTTCGGAGGGGGGAGGCCAGAGAGGAGGGCGGCAGCAAAGGGGGAGAGGCCGAGGCTCTGAGCGACGGAGAAGGCGATGTGGCGGGCGGCAGGAGGGGAGGGGAGTGAGGAGAGTGAGGAGGGACGGCGGTAGGTGATTGTGCAGGCTAGCTTGCCTAGCGCTGCTCCACAGAGGATCTGATTTGAGCAGTGTGGAAGGGGTAGGTGAAAAGGAGGCAGGGAGGAGGGGGTGTGAGTTTTGGAGAAAAGGTGGAGTTAAAAGGCACGGCAGAGATGAGGGAGGAGAGCGAGGAGGGACGGCGGTAGGCGATGGTGCAGGCTAGCTTGCCTAGCGCTGCTCCACAGAGGATCTGGGGAAGACGGGGGGATGGGGTGAGGTGAGGTGGGGTGGGGTGGGGTGGGTGAAGGAGTTTTCAAGGAGAACTGGAGAACAGAAGCAGTGCGAAAGTGAGCGAGGTGAGGGAGAAGGGACGGCGGTAGGCGATGGTGCAGGCTAGCTTGCCCAAAGCTGCCCCACAGAGGACCTGGAGAGGATGGGTGGGGTAGGATGGGATGGGGTGGGGTGGGGTGGGGCGGGGTGGAGGGAGTTTACAAGGCGAACTGGAGAACATAAGCAGTACAGAAGCGAGAGAAGAGGGGGAAGAGGGACGGTGGTAGGCAGGCTAGCCTGCCTAGAGGTAGTCCACAGAGGACCTGGAAAGAAGGGAGGGTGGGCAGACAGAGGTGGAGTGGAGTGGGGTGGAGAGGAGTGAAATGGAGACGAGTGGAGTGGAGAGGGGTGAAGAGCAGAGGAGAGAAGAGGAGTGGATAGGACAGGAGTAAAGCGGGTTGGAATACAGAAGAGTGGAGTGAAGAGGAGTGGAGAGGAGTGGAGTAAAGAGGAGTGGAGAGGAGTGGAGTCAAGAGGAGTGGAGAGGGGTGCAGTGCAGCACACCTGAATTACAGCGAGGAAGGGCAGGGCAGCGAGCGAGGTGAGTGGCTGCACGGCGAGAGTAGAGGCGACCTTGGTCATGAGGAAGCACGGGATGAGCGCTTGGAAGGCCACCTGGAGGGGTGGAGAGCGGTTGAGGGGGGTGAAGACATGTATGAGATGATGAGTGGTTGCTCAGCGAGAGTAGAGGCGACTTTGGTCATGAGGAAGCACGGGATGAGCGCTTGGAAGGCCACCTGGAGGGGTGGAGAGCGGTTGAGGGGGGTGAAGACATGTATGAGATGATGAGGGGTTGCTCGGCGAGAGTAGAGGCGACTTTGGTCATTAGGAAGCACGGGATGAGCGCTT